GTTTGTATAGGCTGCTTTTTCAGAGGTAGTGGGAGGGGGGGAGAGAGAGAGAAACATCAGTGTGAGAGAGACACATCAATTGGTTGCCCCCCAACGTACCCCTAGCCGGGGCTGGGGATCAAGTCTGCAACCGAAGTACATGCCCTTATCCAGAATCAAACGTGGTACCTTTCAGTCCAAAGGCTGACACTCTAACCACTAAGCCAAACTAGCTAAGGCAATTATGTGTTTTATACATGCAAAACAAAACTTTCATATTTACCAGTTATTTAAATCTGCTTCTACTATTAGTCAGAAACTACCCAAAGTTTTCCTATTCAGTTAGGAGGCACAACCATGATTTTTTTTCTTATCCAAAAGCTAATTCATTTTAATATTTATACTTATTTCTTTAAAAAACTTTTCATTTGAATTACAATTTTATTTCACCTTTAATATTAGCCTCTCTGTTTATTTTTCCTATTACTCCAGTGGACACTCTACTAATCAGAAGTATATTTCTAGGACCACAAATTATGAACAAACACACCAAAAAATGTGGTAAGTAATAGGAACCAAGACATCATTTCCTACTACACGACATGTGCCATCCCAACACCCAGGCCAGTGTGCTGTACCCTAACAATGTCATAAAGCAGGCAGTTGAACATCTCCTATAGATGAGGCTCTTTTCCAATGTAAAAGGCCATTATTCCATCATTTTACTGATGTTCCTGCCATCTACCATGTGACCCCACTGAATTTTCTGGCAAGAAAAGCTGCTACCTGAGATGCTGATAGACAAGGTAGATAACTGCCTCTTGATCTCAGTGTCACTGAACATGGGCCTCAGAAGACATCCTGCATGTGATATCTTAAACGCTGACTCACACCTGCCCCCCCAGGAACACTCTGTTCCTTCCTTGGCTCCCCTCCCTACCAGCCATCTGTTGGCTCACTTATACATTAATCAAATTCCAAGGAAATGTAATTTGCCCTTTTCTTCTCGGTCGTCATATTTTCCATTTTGAGTGGCCATTTAACTAGAAAATTTATGCTACATCTTGTAAAGTGTTGAAGAGGAGCACATCTCACCCTGCTTCGGGACTCTTTCCGTTACCCTTGAGCACATCGCTGCGCTCCCTCTGAAGGCCTCTCCCCCTCGATCTCACACCCCATGTTTATCCCATGTTCATTTTTACAGGTCCCCTGACCATCTGCTCCTACCGACACCTGCTCTGGCTTACAGCACTACCTATTGTTTCATGAAATTCCCCTAACTAAACATCTACTTTGCTCGTCTGCTCTTTCCCTTTGACTTTGAAAGGTGCTTGTTGAGCAGGTCTTACAGAAAAATTACAAGTCAACCTCATCTGATTAAGAGAAGAAATCGAGTTTGTGGGAAATGGTGAGGACAGTAATGCGCTCTTTCATTATCATTTGTCAAAAATCAGTACCTAAAAATAAAAGTCTCCCCTGATGCTTACAAAGTAAAATAGCTCACGGTCTGTTTTCTCTGAAACTTGTGTGCCAGCCCTATTTGTCATCCTCTATATTTGATGTGAATCAGCGGGGTGTAGGAAGTGAGAATACTTTAAAATTTGCTTTTGTTTATTGTGAGAAGGGCTTCGGTTCCTTCATTGCTCCTAATATGAGATAGATGCAGGGAAAATTTTAAAGGTTTCATGAAAATACAGGCAAGAAATCAGAGATATCAAATGAATGAGAAGGATGGTATCCATTTTATAGATTTGTGTGGGGAAAACAAAGAATTATAAATTGCTTTATAAACATGTGAGAGAAAGGGAAGAGATTTAGGTGGAGGATGGCAAACATAATTTTTTAGTTTACAAGCAAGGAAGTTGCTTTCAAAATCTGAAACGGGTAAAAAGTCAAAGGAAAAAATCAAGAATAAAATCTAGCAGGAGGAATGGCAGCACTGTTCGAGTTTTAGAGGACTGCAGCAAATTACTCTGAGTGGTAATGAGAGTTTTTATGGAAATACAGTAATTAGCTGTTTTCAGGACCCATAATGTCTAAATTGAGTGTGATGACTAGTACTAATTGATGATTAATGGTTCAGTGCTTTGTACTTTCTAAGCACTCAATAATATGGCTGATTGATATGTTACTTATGAAACAGAGTATCATTTATGAAGCAATTACACAAGCAATATGTGAGTGGGAAAACTACAGGCATCTGAGGATCCTATTGAAACGGAAAATAAATAACAACAATAATAACACCCATACCTTCTCTGTGTCGATGCCTTTTGACATGGACCACGTTGAGACAATATAATCCATGACTCGTTCACTAAGGCCTTTGGGGACCTGATAGAGTTTCAGAAAATCCCGCACATTATTCAACATCTCATGGTATCGGTTGGTGTTGGCATACATTTGCTGGAAAATTGTGGTAACATTTCCGAAAATAGTTGCATAAAGAAGAGCTGAAAGAGAAAAAATGATGAAAATGAAACAAATATCCCAAGCGAAAAAATAGTATGAATATTGGCCCAATCGATGAATAATGTGACAGAGATGTCTTTATAAACTTTAGGGGTTAATACAATGCTAACCCCTGAGAGGAGTGCCTGGGATTTGGTATTCCTTCAGTAAATAGGATAAACATGAGTTTATGAGCATGCAACACTCCGGTCAATGTGGCAGAACATGAGAGTGGCTAACAGATTTCATGAAGAAATAACTGATCCAAAATTATAACTCTAGCCTTACAACTAAAGTGATCCCCCAGCCTTGTCCTCTTGAATGAAGCCTAATCAGTCTGAATTTTCCAGGGATTGATGGTCCTTTCTCATTGCTTGTTCCTTCCAGCTTTTGGAAAATATCCCTACTTATAAATATTGTTGACAGAACATCAGAAATACAGGGACCGAAGACAAATTAAAGTGTTCCATTTTTAGAAGGTTCTGAAGAGATACATAGTTGGAATTAACAGCTAAAAGAAAACTTTGGGAGTGCTGAAAATTCAAGACATTAACCTCATGTCGGTATGCCAGTGTTGCAAATGTTTTGATCCCATCATTTTAATTAAGAGTTAAGCCAGCTTACAGACCAGTGCTACTTGTCTACAGGAGCCTGTGAACGGGAGAGGGTTTTGTAACGCCCCTGACTACGACCCCTCCCTCAACCTATAATTTACCAGCCCTTCTCTCTGCACATCTGCTCAAGCTATTAATGTTTGCCTGATCCTGTAGAAGCTTTGGAAAGCAGTTGAGTCCAGCCCGGAATGAACACGCCCCTAGTGGCACCCCCACCCTTTCATCCCCGTGGGAACGCTGCACTCTTTTGAGAGAGGCCAGGACTCTATTCACCGCGCTACTCAGGACACACAGTGTTTAGTAACCACGGACATCCCAGGGGCACTTGGCAGGTAAGTGGACTCAGTGATCGTTTCCATCCTACATCCTCAAAACGTCTGGAAAATGACTCCTCTAAACGAAGTGTGGCCTGCTTCATTTTGCCGTTTCATCAACCACAACTGCTTTGGATGGAAGTGCTATAAAATCAAGCTTGTCAAGCAACTTAAGGTCCTTAACATATTTTCAGAAAACTATGTTGCTGTTTTGAAGAACAATTTTTCTCTGAGGACAACAAATTATAATTTCACAACAGGAGGCTATAATTTTATCAGTATTTAGCGCGTTTTCTTGCTGTTACTTAGGAATTTTGATGCCAGTGCAGATAATTGTCAAGATAGATGATGTTTTGTTAATACTGAGTGAGAAGAATATAGTGCTGACATTTCTCAACTGGGTCTTTAAATATTTGCATTTTTATATTTAAAAAATAATAAAGGTAATCACAGACTTAACATCTCTAGTCCACCACTGTGGTATCAAGAAAGATAAACTTAGAAAAAATATAAGCAAATTAATGATAGGAAAATTATATAAAAATATGGAATTTCACATTTTCAGAAAAGAAAAGGAGAATTTATGTTCTTAAAATAATGAGCATTTTAGGGATTAACAAAATAATGTTACAATCATGTGTTTTAATAGTGCCCAGCTATTTTAAGTTGTCAGTAAATATCACAGAACTACCTATTATTTTGACATATTTAACTAGTTTGACTCCCTAAGATGCTTGCAATATGCTATATTTGCCAAAGTGTCTTACTACTGCTTTTTAGTGTAACAAATTACCATACATTTCATCTGTCTGGGTACATTAAATACACATACATTCTGCTCAAATGAAAAGTTTAAGTGCTAAAATACAAAGAAAACTGCCAATGTATTAAAAGTTTGCAGCATTACTAAATGGAGAATGTAATCAACAAATCAATAAGTTTGGCTCCCATTTCCACTGGAGTACAGTGTCCAACACTGGAGACGACTAAATAAGGTCATAATTTAAGGTAAGAAATTCAAGTATCTGTATGTGTATATTTAAAGGTTTTGTACTTTAAAATAAGTAGTAAAAAGAGTGCAGGAAGTTTGCATGTAACCACATGTAGCTTCTCTCAATGTCATACCTCTGTCCTGAATTATAGACACACATCTTCTTGGCTGCCTAACAGATGTTCAAGTCAACCATGTCCAAAAAATAACTCTTAGGGTACAACATTCTTTCCTCAATAGCCAAATGCACTTTTTTACTCAGTAAATTGCAAAGCCACACTTATTAGCTCAGACCAAAAGCTACCAAGTCATCCTTCAGTTCACTATTTGGCTCATCTCCTACATCTAACCCATCAAAATTTCTGTTGGTTCTACTTCAAAATATGGCCTCAATTCAATCACTTCTCCCCACCTCTACCAGCATCCTTGCATAGTCTTTAACAGTATGAGTCTTTCCACATACCAGTTTTGTGTCTTTGAGCCAGTTACTACACCTCTCTAGACTTCTAAGCCCTCACTTACAACTTTAAAATTGCACTAGAATCTTCACAAAGGGGTTGTGTTAAATGAAATAACTCAGATAAAACAAGTTAAAAAAAAAAAGTCTAGTAGAGCGTAAGTATACATGAATTGTCATGTATCGTCATCATTTTCATCATCATCATGGGAATAGCTTCCAAACAATTTTTCATGCAGCAGAATTTTATATATATATATATATATATACACACACACACATATATGTGTGTGTGTGTGTGTGTGTATAATCACACAGAGACTTAAATCCAACCTAGCCATGGTCCAAAGACACATAATCAGAGCACTGCCTCCCTCCCTGATCATAATTTCTGCTGCCAGTCACCCCTCACTCCCCTTGCGCCAGTCATTCTAGCCTTCTTGGTGCTACTCAACATCCTGAACAGGTTCACTTTCCAGGGCGCCTTCACTAACTACTCCCGCTGCCTGAAACGCCCTTCCGTGAAATCTTCACCTGGTCTGTGTCCTCTCCTCATTCAGATCTCTGCTCAAAAGGCAGCTCGGCACAGAGCCCTTCCCAGACCGCCTCTCTAAACACCCTCTTCCTCCGACGTCACTCTCTGTTCCCTTACGGTGCCTGAGTCTTATTTATTGCTACTTCCATTTACATTGCATTTTATTTATTTGTTTGTTTGTTCATTTATTATTTCTTGCTTACACAACAGACATTGACTTTCTCATAGTTCTGGAATCTAGAGGTCCAAGGTCAAGGTGTGGGCTGAGTTGCTTTCTCCTTGGCTTGTAGATGGCCGGCTTTTCCCTGTGCCTTCATGCTGTTATCCCTCTCGCTGTGTCTGTGTCCTAATCTCATATTTTGATAAGGACACTTGTCATATTGAGCGAGGCTTACCCTAATGACCTCATTTTAACTTTATTACCTCTTTTTTTAAAATTTATCTTTATTGTTGAAAGTATTACAGAAAAAAGGGACATCTGTAATACCTTCAACAATAAAGATAAATCATCGCATATTAATGGAGTGTTTATTATCTACCTTCTCCATTAGGAATACAAATTCCATGAGTGCAAGCATGGGCCTTGTCCTTTTTGTATTTCCAGAAGGCAGACCAGTTCCTGAAACACAGTAGGTATTCAAATATTTTTTTCCAGTAAATTCACACACCAAAAACCTAGAAAACAGTTTTTCAAATACATTCTTTTTTCAAGTCCAAGTCTCACTACTGGTGATACAAAAACATAGAAGAAATATATATTATTAATGCAGATAGGAAACTAAAATACTTAGAAGCCAAGGTGATACATATTATTGACTATATGAAGATAATAAATAATTGGGAAGGCCTATTGTCACTCATCAAATATGAATGTCCATGCATGGTTTGGCCAGTTTTGTAGAGGCCTGTTATATAATTTTACCCTTTGAAAGGGATGCCATATAGTCAGTTCACCTACTTTAATAATAATAATTATAAGGCTAATTTGATAAGCCTCTTGTTATATGCTCTCCTGCAACCTTCCAGGCTTAAGATAACTTAAAACAAGCAATTTTACAAGCTTATCAAATTTAAAGTCTTGGTAATTCTGGCATACACACCAATGAATGACTTATTTTAAAAGTCTTATTTTTTATTCACCACAAAGGGTTATTTAGAAGATAACTATGGTAGATTAAACATGGCTACAAATTCCCTTACACCCCTTCCATTGAGGAGCAGGGTGTATATCCCTTTCTCTTGAATCTAGACTATAGCAATATGATCATGTGCCAATATCTGGGTTCAAGCCTGAAGAAACTAGAAACTTCCAATTCCTTACTGTTAGAACACCTGCTCTTAGAGTTTAGCTCCCATGTTGTGAGGAAGCCTAAGCATTCTTCTAGAGAGGTCCACATGGAGAGGAATCAGGGCTCTTGGTCAATGGCCTTGGCTGAGCTCCTAGCTAAGCATTGGCCTTAGACTGAGCAATTTAAAATACTGATATGAGAAGACAGTAAGGCTACATAGGTGGTTCGGCCATCACTTCTCTTTCTACTTATATTCATATTTAATAATGATGGGTAAGATATGAAGAAAAATGTTCCACTAATCTATTATTGTGTGTGCAGCAAATAGCTTGACATCAGCTTTGCAGTCAGGTAAGTGGCTGAGCCAATTAAGAAGTGGATTTTTCAGACTCATTCAAGCCAACCCAGATGATACCACATGGACTATAAATAAGTCATGGCCTCCTAGCCCTGCATAAATTGCAGATTCATGAGTAAAATAAATGGCTGTTCTTGTTTCACACCACTGAGTTTGATTACTTGTGCAACTATAATAATAAACCCTAATAAAGACAAATTTGTTCTGAAGGAACTGGGTAGGAACCTGAGGGAGGAGGGTTGTGAGTGAGCATCTTACCACGCACATCAGAGCCCAATAGTACCTTTTGAAAAGTGCTTTTCTAAATATTTAATATATTTTATATTTTAAAACCCCAAGAAGCCTATTATTTTTATAATATAAACATTAAAGTCATGAATTAATGTTTTCAAAAAGAGACATAGGTAAAAAGATTGAATGATGATGCTGGAACACAAATCAGAG